TATATATAAAAATAAAATCTCAGATCACAGTCAACAAATCACACAGCACTCACAATATACATATGGTGTGTTGCGTTCTCCTTTGATCTGGTCTGAATCTGAATGTGTGGCTGGCTGACTAGTTCTTTTGTTCTTCTGTGTTGTCTTTAGTCTGTATGTAAACTATTGTGACAGGGTTCTATCCCTGTGCCTGTCTAATGGAGGCCTGACCCTCTTTCTCTGGGCTACCCACTGACTTATATCACCTGCCACACCTTGATGGAACAATAATTATGATGTTACTCAGCCTGCCCATTTTATACCCCAATGCTAGGGGTCGCTATCCACCACTCCAAATCTCCCCTACAAGGTGGCCCACACTTTGCAGATGGTATATAAATGTTGACCTGCACCCTAGGGCATTGGGTTGGTTCACTCTCCGTTGCTGTGCCTCTTGGCACTGGGGTTTCCCCCCTGTCTCTGTGCCACCCGGCACTGCACGCCCTGTTGCTGGGGCCTGATCACCCCCTGTTGCTGCGTCCCCCTTGGCACTGGGGTCTGATCACCTCCTGGTGCTGCGCCCCCTGGTGCTGAGGCTTTGCACAGTAGTGTGCCTCAGTGAGGCCTCCTCCTCCTCAAATAGCCTCAGCCTGATAACAACATAAATATGAGTCCCTGGGCTATAACATAATACACGTCCTATAAGCCACACTCTGGCTCTCTAAAAACCCCAAACTGCTCCTCGAGCATTGAATACCCTCCCAGCTCTGGGTACTTTGTAGACTCTTGGAGCCTCATTAGCACAGCAAGTCTGGTCAGCAGCCACAGAGCTCCTGGGTATTTCTGCTATTCAGAAACTCTCTTCCCCTGGCCGCTTGTTAGAGACATCTCCCTGCCAGCCTTGGCCCTATGGTTTATATGTCCTGACCAGCCTGGGTGGTTGGGTTATTAACCCCTACCCTCCTGGTGCTTGGTGTTCCTGTAGACCTGGGTCTTAAAGGGGCAGTCCTGCCTCTTAGTAACAGGGCTAGGGTTCCCTGTTACAACTATTAAAACAAAATATGACTAATAATATCAATAAAAAAATATAAATTGAAAGAAATGAATTGGATAAGTATTAAGTAAAGAGATTCTACACTAAGCTATATCCTATCCAATCCTTTCTAAGAACAAAAAGGAGCAGGAGATTGACTGACTAGGAAGCAAGCCAGGTAGTTCAGTACCTTTCTGATGCTGTTGCTCACTCAGAACCAGCTCACAAAAGGCACAGCAAGCCTGCAGACAAAGGCTTTTTTGATGTTTCTATGTCCCTCTCCCAAGACATTGTGATTGGAAGCACAGTCAGAGAGAAATCACATTCACTGGCCAGCTAGAGATGTCAGTACTTCCTCCCTTGCTCCTCCTCCCCTCTTCACTTCCCTTCCCTCTTCTAAGTTTCTGTTTCCCCATAAAGACCGCCTTCCAAATCTCCAAATCTGTTTTGAATCTTTTCTGAATCGATTCTGAGGCTCTGAACCGATTTGGAAAGTTTTAAGCTTCTAGTGATTCAATTCGGATTTAGAGATTCGGCCTCCGAATCAGGCCGAAACTTCTCTGAATCGAATTGTGAACTGAAGCGTCACACAGCCCTAATGGTTATATATAGATTTTATGATGGTTCACATTTTGGGCCACAAGAAGTTTTGTATCCTTAAGTGGAAAGCCTTGAACAGCTAACATGGCTAGCAGGGAAAGAGTCATGGCATAATTTGAGGATATGAAGGTATTACTCCCACTTGCATAAGTAGAGTATTCATTCAGGATTTGATGGATAATTTGGAATGAAGTCTTCCCTCTTATAGATCTTGCTGGATCTGTTCAGCAAGATGATCGCAGAACGTCATGGACTGGATCAGATCCTACAGATCTTGTTCTGGACTGCTAGAAAAGAAATTCATGGGGTATAGAACTGCAGCGTAAAGATCTGAACAGGTGAAACAATTATTCTGATTTGAAAAGGAGGCAAAACTTACTAGGGAAGTTAAATCATTTACCAGGTATTTTACTTAGGATTATTTATTACAACTTAGTTCATCTTCCTGTAATGTAGTAACAGAGAAACAAAACAGTTGCCGTGCATCAGTTTATGTATGCTCAAGGGCATTAAGCCATACCCTCTTTCCCCTCCAACATACTTTTAAAGAAGTAAAATTGTTCATCTATCCACACATATAGTTGCAGAGTACACTTCCAAGTACTTGCATTTGTTGGTAGGTATCTGCTTTGTCCTTTTGGTGCCAGAGCAGTTGGCCAGGACAAAGTTGAACGAAGTGAAGAACAGAGACTATTGGAGCTAGAGAGGGTTTGGATACGTGGCAGTCTGAAGATATTTGGTATTCTTGTGATGGAAGAAAACCCAAACAAGAAACTAATACTCTTCAAAAAACACTTTAACAGCTAACATCTACTTACCTAGGGCTAATGCAATTTTATTTGGAGTCATCTGCCAGTGCACTGGCAGATTCTATGGCCCAAATGGTTGTGATGGAATAAATCCAATGTAGAAACTGTCAGAGGGGACACCGCGTGTAAAAATACCTGATAATGTGTCTGTAAAAGTCTCTAAACCATAAGAAGTACTATACTCTTCTGATGTCCTTCAGAGCCTCCTAGTTAGTCCATGATGGATAACACTTTTTTGGGGATCTGTGGCCAACCATCCAGACCCATCAAGGTTTGGTCAGTTTTTCACTGTTCCAATTTTTTGTGGAGTTTGTGTTGGCTTAGTTATTCTAGGACTTGCTGAGTGTATCTAGCATGGTATGTTTGATTCCTGCATAAGATTAGGATGTTATCTAACTTGATGACTTCAAGTTGATCTAGGACATTTTGGAGTCAATGAAAGTAGTGTGGGCATGTAACAGGCCAAAGGATACAGACCGTCATGTAAGAACAGCTGGGAGGATTTCTTCCTTTCTTGGTGATGTTTCCACAAAGACAATATTCTTGATGAAGCACTGCAATGAAGCTCTTAACTGCATGGAGGAATGAGATTGTCTTGTCATTTAGACTCTGATGGAGAAATACATGGCAGCCTCATCCCATGCTGTGTAGTACATAAGATGCTGAAATTCTTTAATAAAACTGCAGGAAGGGGCTGCTTGTTCAGAGTCTGAGTATCCAGCAGACAGACAAGCTCCAGCAGGCCCTGACAGCCTGGATGAGCCTGGCTGCAGGCTGTCTGAGTATCTCAGCTGGCCCCTGTTAAAGTGCTTGGGTGCAGCTACTAGCAGGGATAGATCTAGAGGGTGAAGTGTGCCTGCATTTGATTCCTGGCCCACCCAAATTCTAATACTGGCTGCCTAGCAGTGCCAGCAACATTTCTGTTCAGGCAGCAGTGAGGGAGTCACTTCACTTCAGGGCTCATTTTAACCTACCTGATTTCTTCTAAACTTTTCATTCCACATGTGTTCATGACCCTTTCCCTTTTTAATATAGTTTGGATGTTCCACTAATCAACTTATCCTTTCTTCTTCCATTCTGCTGTTTGTTAGCTGCCCCTGGTAATACAACTCCTATTTCACAGCTCTGCAGAATATTCTTTACTCCTAGTTAAAAGCAGTACCTCAGGTGTGGAAGCATAAACTGAGATGAACAATAACTCAGGTGTAGAAATCATTTCTGAAGCATTGGATGGAGTAATATAGCTCTATGAATAATATATAGCCCTAAGTCCCTAAGCATGTTAGTAAAGCTGCTGGTTTCCTTTTCACTGGAAAAAATGTGTTATGCTACACGTGATGATCATACCATCTACACCCCTGTGACAGGTTCAGGTCTGGGGGTGTCTGTGATGCCCTCTGGTGGCTATGTAGCTGTCACATTTGGTGCATTGGCTGGGAAGGCCATGTACACAGAAGAACTCAGATTTCCCTGTTAGAGCAAGAAGAACCCTTGAGGTGTGTGGTCACTGCTCAGATAGCCATTGAACAAAACGGAGCAGTTACTGCATTTGATGGTCCAGCAGCAGGCTGCAGTCAATTAACAAGTTCAGAAACAAGATGCTAAGGTGGATGAATTAATACACTACCAGATATGGCAGTCTGATACTCTGCAGATCATGGATGTAGAGAACCAGAAGGTGATAGCGAGTGCATTCACTGGCAGCTTGGGGGGCGGGGGTGGGGTATAGGAGAGGACTTCATTAACGGCCATGTGCATGATGAGAGATGATGGCCCAGATCCTTTTATAGAGGTCTTCGAATGAATAGCCTCAGCACCACAGTGGAATAAGTCCATGTGGGCCTTCTGTTTGGGAATGCTGTTGGCAGGCAAAGCCTAGGCTGTTTATGAGGGTCTGCCTTGAGGGGAAGCTTCAGACTATAAGAGGGTCAAAGTGGATGTTCTACAGATATTAGAGGTGTCTGAAGAGATGCACCACCAAAGATTTGGAGAGAAAAAGACAGCAGAGAACCTCAGCCTCTGCCAGCTGATGTAGATAGTCAAAGACGAGGCAGCCAAGTGGCTCCATTCAAGGGAAAGAACCCTGGAGGACATGTTAGAACAGGTAATATTAGAGCAGTCAGTATGGGACCTAGAGGGTGGGGTGAAGGAATGGGTGATGAGGCATCAACCGTGAACCCTTGAAGCAGTAAAGTTAGCAGAAGAATATGTGGCAGCAGGCAAAGATGCAGGACAAGAGAGTGTGGAGACCCCAGCAGTCACATAAAGAGGAGACCACACTTCAGGAAAGAGAAACCAGAGACAGGAGAGAGGACGGTGCCACCTGGTCCATGTTAGGTATTCTTCTAGGGTGGGCACACAAGGCATTTTCCCCCAAGCTGTTCAGAAGAACCCTAGAGAAGGAAAGAGTGTGAGTTCCAGAGAGATGCAATGAGAGTAAGACAGAAGGGCCTCAAGAAGTGGAGATGAAAGGCAATTTCAGAGCAGTCCCCTGAAACCATACCCCAGGGGAAGAGTGAGATGAGACCTATCTCTTCATAGAGGCCTGGATGGAGCATAAGAGAGTAACTGCCTTAGTAGACTCTGGGTCTAAACATATGATAGTTAGGCAAGCCATACTAAAGGGCCCACCATAAGAAGTACTAGGCCAACACACCCTGGTGTGCCTGCATGGGGGGAACCCTGAAGATATGAATAGACTTGGATACAAATGACAGTGGATGGCACCCTCAAGATGATGGTGTTTCTTGCATCTGGATTACTTCACCTAGTGCTGATAGTATGTGATTGGCAGTAGTTTTGTAAGCTGATGGTTGAGTTAGTGCTGGAGAAACCCTTGGGGAAAACGGGTCTTCACTAGATATGCACCCATGGGGAAAAGCTGGCCAAGATACTGGAGGTGCTAGTGGTGAGTGTGTATATGAATGAAGTAGTCTAGTAAAGCAACAACCACAGAGGAGACACCCAGGGCATTGAATGCTAGAGTGAGCCAGCCTCAGTTGCCACTCTGGAAGAGACACCAGGGGAAGGGTGGGCTTAGTGTTCAGCCGGTGAGGATGGGCTCAGCACTTGGCAGCACTGCTCGCAGCAGACAGGGCCAGGTTCTATGCTGCTTGCATGGGATGGGGCATGGGATAGGGCCGTGCCAGTCAAGCGCCGAGCCCAGTGCCGCTCACAAGGGATGGGGCTGGGGTTGGTGCTCAGCTGGTACGACCCCATCCCCTACAAACAGTACCAGGCTTGCAGGGGATGGGACTGCTCCACCTGAGCACCAAGCCTGCCCCTGTCTGCTGCTACTGGTGTTGCTGAGCGCTGAGCCCGGTGCCACTCGTAGGGGACGGGGCTGGGCTTGGTGCTCAGCTGGCACAGCCCAGGCAGTGCCACTCGCAGGGAATGGGGCCACACTAGCTGAGTGCTGAGTCTGGCCCCGATTTATATACCGTGCCTATGAAAATCCTAACTTTTCATATTGGAAAAATAGGGTCGACCTATACACCATGTCAGCCTATTCACAATGAAATATGGTAGCCTAGATGGTGGCATAGAAATTCTGAAGTACATGTAAGTTGATTAGCTATGGTAAAACCTCTAAGTTTAAAACTTCATAAGCCATACTATAATTTTCTCAAAACTGAGAAAAAAGCAACTCTGAAATAGTGATACTTAAGCAATAGCAAGACCCAATGTAATATCATCATATCATTTTGATAAAGACTGTCTGGGGATAGGTAAAAGCCTGAAGCTCTGCTAGGGATGTTTAATAAACCATCAAGTCTTATCTAGCCGATAGAGGTCCACTCTTCTTTTGCTAATATAAACTAATTTTCTTAGCCATAAAATGTACCTGTCATGATAACAACATGATTTCTTATGATTCTTGAGTTAGAAATACGCTGGTTTTGTTCTCAAGGAGAAAGTAAGCTTACTGTAAGATAATTTACATGAACAGTGAAAAATTTGGGTTTCACATTCAAAATACACTTTTATTTTTGAGTAATAGTTACAGAAAGAAAAACAAACTTACAAAAGTTGGCTGGATCCTTAACTGGTACCCTAACCTGTGATGGAAGTGAAACTATGGCTGCAGTATAACTGCAACAATTTAAAATAGCTGAATATCTGCCAAATAGATATATGGTATTGCTATGACAGTTTGTGGAATAACTGATTTTTTGGTATTATTTTTACCTTACTATTAAGTCTTCTGTATTCCAGCATGTAGAAATAGGCAAGATAGGACAAGTCTGGCTCATTTTCATACCAAAGTACAAAACCATGCATTAAGCTTATAGAAAATGGCCAGCATTTTAGGTGGGCAATGAAGCTGCTTTTCAGGACATCAAGTCTCTTGAGAGAGACTTCTGAGGAAATATAAGATATCCTACTATTTTTAATCCATTTTATCCAATGCAAAGTGCAGAAAAGCCACTGGGGGCTTGGGTCTCCCACTCCCAGCATGCGCCTTAAATACTTCTATTGGGCTGAAAGGGTAAGAGGTTGTACTCTTTATTTATTCTGGGCTGGTATGTGCATGTGTTAAAAGCTGCTTTTAGGCAGCTATATAGGTGCCACTGATGTGCATAAAGAAGAAAAAGGAGTTGGCCATTAATGTCCTATTGTAAATCTCAAGTCTCTCTCTCCTTCTCTGGGGAAATGGAATTTTTGTAACATTTTTTTTTTCAGTGCCTGTGACTTTAACCAAAATGTTGATTCCTTCTTAGCAAAGGATAGGGTTATCGTCACTGGTCTGTTCTGAGAGGTGTACTTTATTGACATTTCAAATGATTCTGGAGTATGAGAGACTCAGGTACAGTATTCATTCAATGTATTTGTTTCAGTTGAATATTTTTCAGTATTTAATCCTGCCAGCACACTTCATACTCCCATATACTCTATGTTCTATAGATTTTGTTTCCTTTCCTTTCCATGTAAACTTTTGCAAACGTATCATTTACAGTCTGAATTCCAAATCTGAACAGTCCAGGGTGGAGCGGGCCATTAATTAAAGTGCTGACAGCGTCACATGTCTTCAGAGTCCTACACTTC